CTGATTGTTAGTCCAAAATCTTGGCAGGCCTTGCTAAAACGATTCATGAGTTGTTGGAGCTCTTCAGCAAAACAGAGCTAGGATGATACTATCTTACAACCACCAAAAGGGTTAAGCACGGGCATTTTTTTTAACAACTCCCAGAAAACCTTAGACTAGAGGAATTCTAGGTGTTGTCCAAAACAGCTTTTCTGAGTCTGGCTAGGTTTGATCAAATTACCTCTGAGTGACGCCTCTGTTATTGCACTGCAGATTTTATTCATTCTACAGGTTTGGACTTTCTAATCATGCCAAACAACAAGCTTTTCTCTTGAGTTTTTCCAGAAGAAGCTACCATGTAGCCATCTTTCCCAAACACAGAATTTTACAGAGTAATCCTGGAGAAGATTAATTGACAACCTTCATTCTAACCCATCGCTTCTTCTAACGGTTTCTTTACCACCAGAAGGTTTTATCTTGGAAATATTGGAGGCAGGTCAATGAAAATGTCCAGAAAGGCAGATACCATGTTGAGTATCATTTTAAAAAGTAATTGCCGGATCTTTATGTAAATTACAGGATCTTTATGTAAATCTACGGTATATGAGCACATTTCCAATACTGTACAGCGTTCGGTTCTGGTCACTATGTCTGGCCAAGCAAAAACAGCCAAGAACCGGTGCATAAAAGAATGTATAATGTAAGAAAGGTTACATTTTCCTCTGCCTCTACAATACACTAGATCACACGATCTCCAACCAGAGCCAAAAGGTGGGAATCTCAAGATGTATCAAAGGAAGTGCTTTTTCACCAAGCCATCATGTGGGATTTGCTCCTGCGAGATGCAGTGAGGGCTTCCTCCTTGGGTCGCTTTAAAAGGCCACATGTTGCATCGATCCATAAAGCTGTCATCCCTTATGCCTGTTTATCTGGCCTAATATCAAAGGCAGAAAGCTGCTGCATGCTAGTTATATTTATGAATATTTATTTAATTTCTCTCCCACCTTTCTCCCTGGAAAAAGGAGAGAGCTTAGGGGGTGAGCACAAGAGTGCCTTTCTGCTGTTCCTTGTTCCCCTGAAACCATTTGTTCCCCCCTAACCACTTTTCTATACAGCAAGACCCCTTTTATCCATGGGATCCGTATCTGCTGATTCACTTATCCGCGGTCCTAAAAGACTAAAAATAGAGAAAGGAAAATATATTTCTCAAGGTTAAGTGACCAGAAAACTGGCCACTAGAGAGAGCCAGAGGCCCTGCTATGTCTAGAGCTCGCAATAGAGAACATGAAAATAGCATTCGATGTTATCCGCGTTTTCCAACATTCGCGGGGGGCTGATGGCTTGGAACCTCCTGTACCTGTACTTCTATCTAGCTTTGACTAGCAAAGACCAGTTGAGAGGCCCCGAGAAAGCAAGTGAGAGGGAAAGGGGAAGGAAGCCCCCTCAACTTTCCCTCCGGGCGTCCACGGGGGGAACTTACACCGGCTCCTCTCCGCTGCCCTGCAGGCAGTGAATTAGCCAGCCGCCTCTTATCGCTTCACTCCATTGAGGGAAGGACCCTGCACCAAATAACACCGAGCTAACATTCTACAAAACAAACAAACAAACAAAAAGAGCCGCGAAACACACTTCCGCCATGTCCTTCTTCCATCGGGATTCAACGGCGGAGGACCACAACATGCCGTTTTCCAATCAGGCACCTGGCAGGCCGCCTATGAAACCCCCTCGGCGGAGGTTAACCGGAGGTCCTCTGCGGTTGCTAAGGTTACCAAACGTGCCGCCCTCCCCCCGCCCATCCTTCTGCTTCTCTATGGTCTGTTTCGGTCCCGCCTTCTCGGTGGGAAGCGAAGGCCGGCGGGGCGTGGTTTCCTTCCTATGTTGAGGGGGTGAGTTTTTTTCTACCCCAGCCTCCCCGCCCGGGCTTGGTTTGGATTGGTCGGCCGAAAGGCAAAAGGGGCGTGGCTAAAAGGGAGAGGAGGCGTGGGCGGGCGGGGCGCCGGGAGGGTCACGTGGCGAAGATGGACCCCGTGCTGTACGTCTTAGCGGCGGCACTGCTGGCGGCGCTTTTGGTCTTCGTCAGCCGCGTCAGAAGAGAGGCGCGGGCGGGTAGGCTCGGCGGGGGCGCGCGGCGCGGGAGGGGGCCCCACACGGGATGTTCCCGTGAGGGAGGGAAAGAAGGGAGCCTGGTGGCCCCCCCCCGGACTGACGTGTCACGGCTGAAAAAGGTTTCCTCCCGGCCCTGGACTACAACTCCCAGAATCCCCTCTCCAGCGTCGGGGCATCTGCCGCTGCCTGTGGGATTCTGGGAGTTGTAGTCCGGCGCTGAGAGAAGGCGCTGGGAGGACCTGTCAGAGGAAGAGAGTGCCCCTGCGCATGTGGAG